TTTACATCATCAAAGGGGAATAACTAGAAATTTATGATTTTGCGATTTTTAGAGTTATCGTTCTTAAAATTCGACTTCAACGGAATGAGTCCCACTTTGTTAAATAAAGTCAAAGATTGGTAATTTTACATAAATTCTAAAGAAATTTCACTTCAATGTTCGTATACTTCTGTAACCGTGCAGTTAATGGTAAATGATGAGTCAGATGTTGGTATCCATTTATTTATTGAAGAATTAGAATAAAGACATTGACCTATAACAAATACAAAGAATTTATTAGAAAAAATACATATAGTTTCATAAACATTGACAATAAGTTACCGTTTATGCAGTATACACATAGAAGATAGAAAAATGTACTGTAGCAAAATGAATTTTGAACCTACAGACAAAATATAGGAATTTACTCAGACAACTTTAACTGCAAAAATACGATAAAGTATAAACTTCGCAATTAAAATAATATGTTATACCCAAATCTTTAATAGTAAAGTAACAAATAATCAAATATGAAAGTTACATACCACAAGATGCATCTGATATCGGCTGGATATAATTTCTTCTTTAAAAATGTAATACTGCCCAATTTTGCTTAGTTTGAACGGTTACTTATACTCAAGGTATTGGATAATATCAAATGAGCCAATGAAATTGAAGATAAAAAATATTTAAGATTACTTTAGATGAAACGAAAAATAGAATGATTCCAAAACGAATAAATACATAAGATAAATTATAAAAGTAAATTTGGTCTACCACACTTCTATTGAGAGCTGGTTTTCACTAGTATGTTCATTTCTGCGTACATCGGACACAAACTAACAATGCATCGGACACTTTCCGATACAAAAGTAAACACTACCATTTTCATACAGAACCCAGCTGATAACTGTTTCTTGCGGAAAAGTAAATAAAAACTCTATATTTTCAGTCAAAATACAAGTTATCAATATATGACGTCTGGAATTTGACTCAATTTCTTTCTACAAACCAGAGTATGATAAACCATGAAAAAAGGCGCGAATTACCGCATTATAAGCATTTTAAAGCATTTCTAAGGTCTGAGTGAGTTCTCTTGAATCGTTCTACAATTGTGCAACGATATCGTCGATGAGATTTAAGTTGAGGGTTATTTCTTAGATAAAAGATAAAAAAAAAATATCCATATCAAGTATTTTAAAGCACTTTGATTAAGGTATGATACTTTTCCGGTCAAAATACCGTCTGTCCGATGCATGGTAAACAATGTCCGATCCATGGTGAATTTTGAGTTATTCCTAAAAAGTCGATTTTTGAGGATATTATCTCAATAACGGGCATATAATTGTGTCCCAAATTGATAATTTAATCACAAACTAAATGTTAAACTCCATTTTGATAATTTTCCGTCGGTAGCGATATCGCTAGAACTTGTTGAAGTACAGGGGTATCCGATGCATGGTGAATTCACCCTATATTGTTTCGTTATTTTCCCAAGGAAACTGACTGGGATCTCCTCTCACCATACAAACAAACATTTTATCACAGAGTGTTGTTTTTAAAATTTCTATCCGTAATCCAAAAAATAAGGGGCAAATATATTTTCCTAGGACGGCCGGTCCAGTTGTCTGTTTGTTTGTTATTTTTTTTTCCTGATTTATTTGTAAGTGGGGAAATCAATTAGCCCTGACGAAAGCCTTTAATTGGTTTGAGCTATGAATTTCATATTTCATAGGTTATTTCTTTATTTTGACGGGCAATTTTGAATTTTGAATTTGAGCCTTGCAGGTCATATGAACCATAGCTTTAATATTGCGCTGGTGTATTCAACGTGTAAAAACCTTTCCTAGGGTAAAAGTATTTTTGACTTTGACCTTTATGTCTGACTCGCTTTCAAAGATATTTTCAAAATTTTATTCTTAGCCATAGCTACTACACGGTTAAATCAAGTGATATCATACTCCTCACGCTTATATTTTGATGAAACCTTCTCTTGAGTACAAACAGGATTGACCTTTAACCTTCATCTTATGGATTTGACATACTTTTCAAAAACGTTAGCTTTTGACGTATTTAGTGCTAGGGAATTACTATTTTACCGGTTTATTTCTTGTGGTAAGATCGTCTCTTGAATACCAATATTTTCTTTGTATATTTTTCATCCTTTTATTTGGACATTTGACCTTCTTTTGAAAAAAAACTTTGGTGATAACTTTTGAATGGTTGACTCTGTGGCTTTTATATTTCACCTATGTATTTTTTGTGAAAATCTTTTGGGTATTATATATTGACTTCTTGACCTAGTCCAGTTTGACCTACTTTTGAAAATCTCTAACTATGGTCATAATTACTGAACTGTTTACTGCTTTTATGGTTTTTATTTCTTAAAGGTAGACTCACTGTGAGGAACCTTTCTTTTGGTACCAAAACTAGTTTATATTGACCTTGGTCTTTGACCTGCAAACGACAATATTAATCATAAGCCTCTTTGTTTCACAAACTTATCTTGAATTTTTATCATTAGCTCCCAACACTTTTCTTAATTATTTAATAACAAATTTCAAGTTGTAGTCTATCAAATTTTTGGATATACTAGTATATAAACCATTTTTTACACATTGCATAATAGAGATTGACTTCTCACACATATTGAATCATTTTTTAAAAGATGTAGTCTCATAATTGCAAAAGTATTTGTAAACATATTGATTAATGTTAGCTCACTAAGTTTTTTTAGCAAAGGCAATTGGAAATATAAGATTACATCTTTCAAAAAATAATGAATCAGTGCAAATTTTTTTCTAACTCCTTGTCTTGTTTTGCAAATTTGATTTTTTCTAACTTACTTGAATTATCTCTAACCTAAATAATAATAAGTCACAATATTTTCAAATTTTGCTTTTAACGTTTGTGACGTCAAAATAAAACGCATATTACACATGTAACCTTTTAATCCCCGATCTGTGTTATTGTGTTTTGAAATTAAAAAAAAAAAGAAAATAAAAAATTACAGTATCGGTATACGCCTACTATAACGTATATTGTGCATTCAAGAGCAGAAAGATGCATTTTTAATCATTATCTGTAGCAATAAAAGATATTGGTCTTCAGAAAATGGGATTTTTTTTTTTACTTTAAGCTCATAATCTAGTATCATTGAGAATCTAGTATCTTTGCGTTTCTTGCCACACCTAAAATTCAAGCTATCTAAATATATTTATGGTATAATTAGATTTGTGGAAAGAAATATTCAGTACACCTCACTTCAACATTTTAGCTTATTTTCTCCATGATATTAAAAATAATAATTTCAATTTTAGCGGTTTCAAGTAGATTAATGAATAATTAAATGCTCATTGATTAAAAATACTACATAGATGGAAAAAGATGGGGATATGTTTTTAGAGAAGTATAATCTTAGATGTATTGTACCACAAAACATGACCATCAAATATACTTTGATTTTTTTAAAAAAAATTTTAACACCTTTATTACATTGAAACTTGTTTTATCCAACATTCACGGGGAACAGATATAAAATATATTTGTCGGAAAAACAAAGTAAGTATTGCTGCGTGTAAAAATCATTGAGATAAGTATAAATGACAAACGAAATTAAATGGCTGAAATCCCAGAAAAGAGTATTGCATGTGTCGGATTAAACAGGTTCCACTGTAATAGGTTTCACAATAAAGTATTGTCATCCTAATTCTCCGTCCAGTTATCTCCATTTATCAGTGTTTGGAAAAAAGAACGAATTTTTTCTATTTTCAAATTAATTACAACACATATAAAATACATCTTTTACTGAATACATTTAGTATCGCTTTACAGAGCAGCTTAACCCCCCTTCTTTTAATGTTTGTTACTTTATGTTAGATATTAAAAAAAAAAGAACTCAGCGATAAAAATTAATTTAAAATCATCTCTTGAGGGTTTCCATAATCCATGGATAATCTTTCGTCTGTTAAAAAAAATACTTCACAGAAAAATGTATGATAGCATATTTTTTTTCTATTTAAAAAACAACTTTTATAACTGAAAATATCAGAGTAATACAAATAGAAGAAAAATGGTTATTAAGATTTAATGATGTTTACCTAGTTCCGTCTGATCATCATGGTGGTCCCCTTCACTGACGTCCCACTCGTCACTGTGGGATACCGTGGGTTGGACAAGTCTCCTGGGAACGATGGAGCGTTAAGGAAGGAGGAGTGACATCTGTTGTACCACCAGCCTCCTCTATACACAGCAGCGCAGTGACTACTATATCTGTTGTTATCCCTGTCTGGCGTGGAGAAGTACATCCCTGACTGATTGTAGTAATGAAAACCTGTGTCTATCTTACTGTCTCCTGTAGAATTAAAAAAGAAAATACATGGACACTTGTTTAAAATAGATCAGTAAATTTATATCCACTATACTCGTCGTGATCTCTGTCTGGGTGGAGAAGTACATCCCAGACAGATCGTGGTAAAAAAAAACATACTGTCCTCTGTAAAATCAAACAAAAGGAATCACAGAATTAATTGATTTATTAATTTTTAACATATTTGTCATTAATAATACTTAGGTAATTCTAAACTCTCTCTCAACTAATAATTATTTTGTGTATGTATTTGTCTATCATACTGGCACCTGAAGAATTAGAGATATATAAATTTTTTAATTTACATCTCATTGTTATTATAGCCTATGTAGAGCGTTCGCTTCGTAATCGGAAGGCCCAGGTTCGATTCTCGTTCCTGGCGCTTGAAAGTTACGTAATATATAGGTAGCAACTGCTCCTTCGCCAAGCCCTCGGCAATAACTAGAAATTTACGGGTCTTTGCGGATTTGACCTTAAAAACGTAGGTTATCACGGTAGGCGCTGGCACGAAAATTCGACTGCTCAATGGCCCTGAGTGCAGAGTATTGTTAAATAAAGTTCAAAGATTGGTAATTTTACATAAATTCAATATAAGAAATTTCACCAACAATGTCTCATTAATTATTTTTTGAGCTTTAACGTGTTGTTTACTGTAAAGAGAGATAAAAAATACATTGTGCAATTCACATAGCATCCTTTCAAATTAACAATAAACAACAGACGTATTACTTTCTAAAGCATGGTAAAGGTCACTAAAATATCAGAAAACATGAATAAATGAAATATTTATATGCAGAAATAAAAATATATAAAATACAGTATATTTTCATTCAAAATTATAACGAGATAAGATATTTGTACCTGTAAATGTTTTAAATTTGACGATTTTCATTAGATAAAGCATAGTATTATGAATGTGAAAAAAGCGTTTAGGTGAAATATGGCTTTTTATTATTTAAACATTATCCGATAAAGCATTTCATTTGATATCTTAGGCAAAGTGAGGCATTTTTAATCGTAAAATGTGACATTAATGTGCAACGATATTTTCGTCAATTAAATTATAGTAAATGTGAAAGACATTGAGGTGTTTTGAATTTGGCTTTTTTAAAATTTGAATATAAATCCATATTAATGACTTTAAAGCATTGTGATAAAGGTATGATATTTTTTCGTGTAAACTTCCAAATACCAAGTCTGTCCGATGCATGGTAAACAACTTTCCAGTGACTGAATTTGATTCATGGTTTTAAGCCAGATTTAAAAACTCGATTTTTGAGGATATTTTATCAATAAAAGGCATTTATTTGTGTCCCAAATTTATATTTTAAGCACATGTCAACTAATTGTTAACACATCCATTTTGATTATTTTACATTGGTATTTGATATCGCTATAAAATTGTTGAATTACAACGGAGCAGATTTCAAACAATTCATTCATTTTTAGATATAAGTCACCCCCCCCCCGTCTATGGTCCCCTGTAAAATCAAACAAAAATTCACAAAGTTAATTGATTTATATATTTTTAATCTACCGGTAATTGTCAATAATAATTTCACTGAAAATACTTCTAAGATAGACGGCTTTAGGTTCTGGAAAATTCATAATATTTTTTTTTGTTCATCATTACTATATACTTAGTTAGTTTTTTTATATAGGAGCAGGTATAAAAAATGCAGAATTTTCACTATATATATAACAGAGATAATAGTTATTAATTTACATCTCATTAATCTTAATACTGGTAGAGTACGCTCATCAAAACTACACAGTTTGATGTTTTGTTTACTGTAAAGAGAGATAAAAAATACAAGATAATCTTTAACAAAACACTGTGGAATTCACATTTTGGAATCCTTTTTAGTGTAACAATAAACAACAGACGTTTATCCTTTAAAGAATGGGGGGATTTTCAAAGGTCACTGAAAATATCAGAAAACATGAATAAATGAAATATTCATATATGTCAGAAACCTTGCTTTTTAAAATGTATAAAATACTTTACGAAGTAAATCAATCAAAATTTTAACGATATAAGATATGGTGTACCTGTAAATGTTTTAAAATATTAGATTTTCATTAGATGAAGCATATGTATTGTAAATGTGAAAAACGTTGAGGTGTTTTAAATATGGCTTTTTATTTTTTTTTTAATTTAAATATGTATCCGATCAAATAAGTATCATTTGATATTTTTGATAGATCAATGACTGATTACAATCATGTAAATTTCTTTGATTCCGTAGTAGTAAACTGTGAATTATTGAGAAGATTGACTAATTTTCGTTAAATAGACAAAAGTTATTGTAAATGTGAAACACATTGAGATGTTTTGAATTTGGCTTTTTAAAATTTGAATATGTTTCCGATAAAATAATTTTATTTCAACATGAAAGTTTCCTGGAAATGTCAAGGCATATTAGATCAATTATGCTGTGTAAACTTCCTGTCCCGTAGAAGTTAAAATCTGAATAATTAAAAATTATCAAGGAACCTCAGCTGAATAACAATGTTTGAGAAAATGTGATTGCTTGCTTTGTTTCTTAAATATAATTTAACATAATTTTTTTAATATCTTAGCTATCTGACTATAAAAAATTCAATGTTTGCGGAATTAGAGAATTGAACATGCAGATGATATTTTGAAATTTTAAACATACTTAGTGTGCGTGGAATCAAAAAGGTATCTTTTTCAACAGCTTAATAATCTTTCAATCAAAAATATTTTTTTATGATAAGATACGTAATTTGAACCCTATTTTAAGAACTTGGATACACAAACCTAAAGTTCCCGTGGCAGGTCCTGCAAGAAAGATTTGATATTTTTCTGCTTCGTCGGAGACAGAGAATCCGTCGTACATTTCATACAGCGTTGTACCATTCTGTAAAGTTATGGTCACATACAGGGATGAGGTGATTTCTTTTGTTAATTGATGTATCAAGTCATTTCCTGTATTAAAAAATCCATTGATTCTATTTAATATAATCATACCTTATTGAGTAATAAAATTACTTTCCTGTTTTAAGATATATTTAAAATCAATAACTATGCAGGGGCGGATACAGAATTTGTGGTTAGGGTAGGCGTGAATAATTTTGATTTTATTAAAATGCTTTGTTTAAAACTGGGTTTTCGTGTATTTTAGAGTAAAACCAGGCAAAATATTAGTGCATATTTTTCAATTATTTTTGTTTTAAGTGGCATATAGGTCTGGAAATTTTTGAATAATAATTGTTTTGAATGTTTCAAATTCTCAAAATTGTATTGTAGCATATGCCACTATAATAAACGATTCAATTACTTATTACTTACTATAAGTGTTATATTGCTTAGCGATGTACCATGGTACGGCGTGTCTAATACTACATATAGTAGTCATATCATACTTTGAATGGTGGGGGCTCAGAGGGCGCGGCCCCCGGAAGTTCCTGGATTTTTGTGTATTTTAAGAGTAAATCCAGACAGAAAAACAGTGGTTTGGTTAGTTTTGTACCAAAATGTGGCATTATAGATATAAGTCACATCATACTTTGAAAATTTTAGGGGGGGAGGCGTGCGCCCCCCACGCTCCCCCTAAAATCCGCCAGTGCTATGTGTATTACAATAATATTGTTTCGTAAAAAAAGCCCAAGGGAAAATAATATAACAATCTAAAGATTTTTGTAATATGCATTGTTTAAAACTGTATCAGACTATATCAGACTATTCCTATTGTATAGTAATAAATGCATGTTATTCAACTACGTAGATGCAGCTATTTATAATCTGCTCCTATATCATGCTTTATTTAGATATACAAGGGTTGTCCGGGAAAATCGTAGACAAGGTGTTTCTTTTTGAAAATAATGGACACACTAAGATGAAATTTTCAGTAAATGTTTATTTATCATATTGAAGTGCGTCAAAATATTTTGATAAAATTATTGACAGAAATCAAGATTTTATTTTGCTTGAATGTGTACAGGTCCTACTGTTCACGGTCAAATAACAAAGGTTATATTAGAAAATACATGAGTATTGATAAGAATAAAAGATTTAAACACATGAGATTGGGGCTAAAAATTATCCTTAATCGGTTCCACAATTCATTCTGTCGTCTTTTCAAAATTTTCAGGGCATTTGGTTATTATTTATTTTTTTGGCAGTTTCCTGAGCATTCGAAATGGGAAAATGGTAAATACAGCACACGAAACAAGTGACGTTTGATGACATAACGGTGCAGTTTAGTTTGATTTAGATGGTGTGATAACAACTAAAGAAACTTTAAATGAAAAAAGAAAAAAAAATATTAAGAATAAAAATCCCAGATCTTTATCATAGAACTTTTCTTTGTGAAGTCGTTCTTGATCGAGTCCCCATGTAGAACAAAACATACGGACAAACTAATATTGTAAGTATAAAACACGCTGTCACTGTTGACCGTCAATATAAATTGTGTGAATTATGGGTGTGCGAAGGACACAGACTTGTACGTGGGTATATAATTTTCAATACGCGCAAGCTTGCTTAATGAAATAAGCCTACGTGACAATTCTGTGTGATTCACACACCCATAACTCACACAAAACTTAAAAACATAAGGACTTTCAAAAACTAAAGGACTTTGAAATACGAAAAGTCCTTTGAATTTCCATTCTTGTATGTCTTATCTTTCCTTTATTTTGATAATAACTGGTAAATGCATTTTTTATTTACCATTGAACTACTAAAAACAAGACTAAAGAAAGTAGAGTACTGTTTATATTATTCGTACATCAATTTATTTTTTAACTGCTTTCAAAATTCAAATGTTTATATCTTGGTTATACTTTTAAACCAATTAAAGACCCGGTATTGGTTCATATTTACCAATCCAAACTTCCTGTTCCGGTTCACCAAAACCATTTTTGTAGTCTGTCCAGTTTCTGTCAAAGCTCACGGACCCATCGAATCGTTTTTGGATGACCTTGGAAAAATATATGCATATTTATTAGCATAGTTTGGATTGCCTCGGAAAGATGTATGTACATTCATTAGGATAGTTGACTTGCTGTTTAAATTAATTAGATTACTAATGTGAGGGTCTCTTGTAGAATTTATAGACATGTTATCATTGTGGAAAAAAAGAAAAGATAAAGAGCGGTGATCGACTTTTAAAAAAGTAACAACCAATCCAAATATGTGAACAGGACATAGATCAAACCCACATACACAACACACACCCTCTAACACACATACACACACCGAAAGTTCCAGCGGTGGGACACACAATTAACACACAGGGACGTAAGCCTCTGTCAAATTAGAAAGACGGATCATTCTCTAGTCTAATTTAGTATACAACGATCTAACAATTGACATGATACAGATAGACGGATCATTCTCTAGTCTAATTTAGTATACAGCGATCTAACAATTGAAATGAAAGAGACAGCAAACATTCGACCCGTTGATTGACCATTTTTTGAAATGCTGACTAAAAATGAGGTTTTAAAATCCCTTTTAGTCAAAACATTCCTAAGTATTCTGTCTTAGATTAAAAATTAATTATGATCTTACTCTTGCTGATTGTAGAAATTTGGGAGATGCTTACACCAGATGCAGGTGATAGCAGAATATCAATTAATAAAAAAGGGAAAACGAAGATGGAAAACTATATCAATTTCCTGGACAAGACACAATGTAAATATCACAAAATCAACCCAATGCATCATATAACCAGAATTTAAAACTTAGAATTTATTAAAACTCACCGTCCACCCGCCGCCCATTATATCCATGTTACAGTGAACCTTGACCGGAATGGACTTTGTCCCGTATGGGTAAATCTCGTACACGTCCGATTTATCATAATTATTGTCACGATGTTCCTTACAATCTGAAGGGAGAACTAAAGAACAAAAGTGAGAATTACATAGGGTTAGGACTTACTTAATATTAAGGGAAAACTAAAGAACAAAATTGAGAATTACATAGGAGTAAGAATTACATAATATTAAGGGAAAACTAAAGAACAAAAGTGAGAATTATATAGGATTAGGACTTACATAATATAAAGGGAAAACTAAAGAACAAAAGTGAGAATTATATAGGATTAGGACTTACATAATATTAAGGGAAAACTAAAGAACAAAAGTGAGCATTAATAGGATTAGGACAAACATAATATTTAGGGAAAACTAAAGAACAAAAATGAGAATTATAAAGGATTGGGACTTACATAATATAAAAGGAAGACTAAAGAATTGAAGTGAGAATTATAAAGGATTAGGACTTACATAATATTAAGGGAAAACTTAAGAACGAAACTGAGGATTATGTAGGATTAGGACTTACATAATATAAAGGAAAATCTTAATTCAAATCTGAGATTTTTTTAGGATATAGATTTGGACCATATGGAGGAGGAACTCAAAATTCAAAACTAAGAATTATAGAATTCTTTCTATATAATAATTATAAGAATTCAATAATCTTATACTAATCTTAATTAAAAACTTAGAATTATATAAGATTATGATCTAAACAATAAATAGAATAGTTATCTTCACAGTTCAACGCTTGAAACGACTCATAAGAATAAACAATCAAAATAAGGTAAGATAAATCGGCTACAAGTGTAAGATTGAAGAAAAAATAAAATAATAACTAATACATACATTCCGGAAAGTAATACCGCCATCCGGTTTCGTCCGACATTCCGGAAGTGAAGGCCTTCTTATGGGTCCGGCACTTCTTCAGCGTAGAGTTGTACCCGAAGAATTCGCAATCTCTCTGACAGGTGGCAGCACACTCGATTAAAGAATGGACTTCGTGTTGTCCTACAAGTTCGTCATTGGACATCTTGTTATCGAGTTCCAGTTTTGCAGTATATCTCCAGGAGGAGATGGTAGCACGAGAAACAGTAAATAGAGAGGCCATTAAACAAACAATACGAAGACCGCTCATATTGTAGTTTCTGGTGTGTAATTAGAGCGTTTCTGTAAGAGCTTAGAATTAATCCGTCAACTGACGAGTTTAAATATCAAATTATTAACCATTCCTGCAAAACGATTGGCTTGTTATGGTATAATTTTTTCTAAAGTATCGATTGTGTTTAATTCCTGGAGTTATTGAATTTGCCGTTCTTATTTAAATGACCGAATGAAATAAGGGTGTCAATGCAATAACAAAACTACATAAACATATTATCAAAGTGCCATACTAGAAAAAAATGATTAAATATTTTATAATATGCGCTGACGAAATTTACATTAAAAATGAACAGAATGAAACTATTCCTTTGCAATTTGGTTTGAAGAAACCTTCAGGATATCAAAGATATTAGACAAAAAGGGATTATTATACTCCTTATCTAAAAGAATTGCTTCTCTTTTCCATATCAAACTGTTTTCTCAAAAATAGATAATATATCTCATCCAAATAACCTGCTAAATTTTAATTCAAAGTTTACACTTTACCAATCTTATAAAAAAAAAGATTATAATTACTTTCTTCCCTATTTTCTGATAAAAGCATTTTTTTGACACGTTTGGTAAAATTCTAATGATTAAAAATTTAAAAAAAAAAATGATATCCTACAAAATGTATTCTATAATATTGTCTTTCACAAAGTGCGCTTTATATTAATTTAGTTTTAACAAACATACTCTTCATTTTTACTACTTCCACCATGAAAGTTTAGGTTTCCAACACTTTAAAAAAATGTACAAGAGAAAATTTCAGTTGTAATGATATGAAATATATACAATATAACCCAAAATTTCTCAAATGCAAACAAAACATTTTTTTAGAGACAGTGAATTTTAAAGGACTCTGTTCCAGTCCTACCTTTCTCAACTTATTCTGCCTCGTTTAAGAAACCGCTTGCAGTTTTGTTTGCAAATGTAATTATCGAGAACCTCTCCATAATATTATGAAGTCAACATTTGTCTTTTAGCTCAAACAAAAAAAGGATATAATAGTAAAAATAATAGATAAATTATATGGAGATAACGAGCAGTATTCAATATCAAATTCATCAAATTCTATTAAACAATACAAAATAGAGCAGAGCAAACACGGACCCCTGAAACACCAGAGGTGGGATCAGATGCCATGGAGGAGTGAGCATCCCCTACCGAGCCGTCACGCATGCCGTGTGCTCCTTGTCATGATCAGGAAACAACGGAAAAATCCGTCGTCAATTCAGTGTATAAATAATACAATCAGTATGAAAAACGTCAGTCAGCATTCTATTAAATGATAATTTTTATTTGCTGACAAGATAATTGTATCAACCATAGAACTTAAGAAATAATGACTTTAGAGGAGAACGTTGATATTCTTCTTTCATCAACTTATTTGTCAATAAATACCTTGTTTCTTTTTTCCATATGATTGCATTCTTTCTACTTTTTC